CATCATGGGAAATAACTACCTTCAGCTGCCTAGCCACTCAACCAGGCCCAGCCAAGTTGACACACAAACTTAACCACACAGGTGTCCCCCAACACACACCAGAAGTAGACCCTGAGACAAAGATTGAAGTCGCATAGTGCCTAAGGCACTTGACTGCTAACCAGAAGGCTGGTGGTTCAAATCCACCAGCCACTCGGAAGGAAGGAAGGTTGGGCAATCTACTTCCATAGTGATACTGCCTTAGAAACCCTAAGAGGGGTCACTATGAGTCCGGTTTGACTCAACAGCACATAACATAACAAGTTTATTTAGGAAGTGATTGCAGGAAATGCCTGTAGGGCAGTGGGGAGTGAGGCAAAGAAGAGAAAAGTGTTATTAAATGATTTACCACTATGGTCAACTGGAGCATATTCCCAATGGGGAGTTTTGGGGGCCAGTGGAGAATGTGTACCTTAGAAATGTCCCATCTAAAAAGTAAGGATGCAGGGGTAGTTATCCACCAGCTGTCATTAGTCACTGGTTAAGGGTTGATTCCAGGAAGTGTTAATTTTCTGGCATTTCTAACCTGTCAGGCCCTCAGGCAGAATGACTTTTGAAAATTTGAGAGGAATCCCTCCAATAAAGAAAGGCAGATCTTGGCAATTGGAAGTTCACCAGTGCCCACTACAGCAGTAAGATCCCAAAGATATGGATAGGGAACATTGTCTGGTACAGGGATGGTGTGTCTTGTTCACTAGGCCTTGCCATGTAACAGTTAAAGGATGAAGGAGGTTGGTAGCTGTTATGTTGACAGCAAATCTGGGTCCAAAATATAAAGGTTCTAAAGTCCTTGGGTATATATACCCAAGAGAGATGAGTGCATATGTCCATCAAAAGATATGTACAAGAATGTTCACAGAATTATTCTTAATAATAGTCTAAAATAGAAAACTACCCAAATACCCATCAATAGTACAATGGGTAAAGCATGGTATACTCAAACAATAGAATATATAGCAATGAGAATGAACAAACTACTGACTAAAAAGTATGATTCTAATACTCTCTTGGAACAATCAATCATGGGAGAATAGAAGGGCAGCATTTGCACAGGGAGATAGTTCAGGGGGCAGGAATGCATAGAAAAGAAGGACACAGGGAAGAGGTAACACACAGAGAAAGTGGGAAGAGAGCTTGTTATACTGTGGGGATTGCAGTCAATGTCATGAAACAAAA